GTGAGTTAAGGAGAGCAAAAGTGGCATAGAAAGCCAATTTTTTTTTTTTATAGCAATGAATCCTTTTGAACATCTGAACAAAGCTATGTAGCACTCCCTGCCCCAAGTCCATTCGATTTACACACAAAACTTGGCATATTATTTCAAGGTACTCAAGCCATGCAAAACTCATCTCTGTACAGTTAAGGGTTTCCTATGAACAATCACATTAGGATATGGAAGAATCTAGTAATTTTATGTTTGTTCAAATATTTAATTAAAATTTTACTTTTCTGTCTCACGTATATAAATAATTCATTTTGTAATGACTACTCTAACCATCACCAATTTTAATTTAAAATAATGACAGGCATTAGATGATCACTAATCTTTTTGCTAGTTTTATTATACTATATGAGATTTTTCTTGCAATCAAGAATCATCAGCATTCTATTTTAAATTTGTCCTTAAATATATACAATATTGCACTTTAATTTTTGGCAGTTTAAGGAGCGGCTGAATTAAAAAAAATCATACAAGAAACTGTAGTCTTTATTTTGCTTTATAATAAGCAAGAAGCTTTATGTAAAGCAGAACTTACAGTAGTGCCAAAAAAAAAACCAAATATTTACAGTGTCGCTATTAGTCTTACCTCTGAAGGAAGATTCAGTGTATTGAATGCAAATATTAATCTAACAAAAGCACATTACCCTCCCTCCATTCTGCTGAACATTTTTAAGCCAAAGGGTACTGGTGTGAAATGCTTCTGTGATTTCTTTCTCAAGAGAAAGTACATAGAAAGAATGCTTGTTCTTGAAGCATCTAAACTGGGTCACTAAACTCTTTCATAATGTTTCCTACAAGATTTGAAAAATCTCTAAACTAAAAATGAGAATTCCAAGATAAGCATTTTTTTTTTTTTTAGTTTTTCTGAAGTTATTCTCTTTTACAATGACAAGTACACAAGTTAGTTGGCTTTTAGTATGACTTTATGTCATTTTCTTATATATTTTCTGAAATACATAAGATACTGGCTAGGTATCTGCCTGAATTATTTTTAACTTTTGTTACACTGTAGTGAAACTGTATACATTTATATTGACCCCGTATTTGCTATTCTACTTTTTACTTCCCAATTAGGTAAATACAATAGAAAGCTCAATATTTTTCACTTATCAACCAATTAGGGAGGCAGTTTTGAATAGCTATTTTCAAAACTAAATACCCAGATTTAGGCCTACTTATAACAGTATATTGAACATTCAAAAGACCAAAAAGAACATAAATAGAATGTATTTATAATATAAATACACGAAACAAAGACATTCATTTTTGGCACCACCTAAAAAAAATCCAGCAGTACTTTATTACCCTTCAGATCTTTGGAAACACTTAAAATGTCTAACTATTAAACTTTTACTTTTACTCTGGAGAAAAAATAATTCACAAATTTCAACTGGTATTTCCAAAGCAAAAGATTTTCTTTTGTTATTTCTTAATTTGATCTGCAGAAAGACCCATTATTTAATGAACAGCCAATGTATTAACTATGCTTTTACATTTTAATCCTACCAAGAACTGATTATGTCAAACAGTGATTTATTATGGACATATATGGTTTCTTCTTAGACAACCATGTACCAATTGCATAGCTCTGATCTGAGAACAAAGGTCAAAGTAGAGAGTTACAAAGGCATTAATATATGTTAACTGAACTGAAATAAACTGTTGAAAAACAGTCTATCTTGGGTAGATGTTAGTGTAAACTTAGAGGGAAAAAAACAGTCATTAGCAAAAAACTTTTCTTTAAAAATAGGTTAATGCTAAGAACAACAGCTTTTAAAATTTCTGTTTAAAAATAAGCTTAATAAACAAGAATACAAATTTTCATTCAAAACTTAGCTCTTTGAAATGCCCTATTTTCTTGCATACAGCAGAAAATACATTTTTCAGAGTAAACATTACATGTAAAAATGAGGCACTAGTTTAAACATATTCGAATATGTTCACACAAACAGGAGTTCCAGTCTCAATCGTAGGCTTATATTTGCTTAATGGTTTCCGGATGGCAAACTGTTCACAAAAATAAGTCTTCTGAAGGAGGTGCGTAAGAAAAACCAACGAATGCATCATCGGCCTCCAGTACGCTGGCGTTCACTATAGAATAGTCAGAAGACACACACACAGAATATGGAACTGTTTCTTCCGTAAATACTGCATCAAAGTTCCTGATATCATCTGGTCCTGCCTAAAATATCAAGAGCACATTATTATTCAACTTAGCTTTTTTCATTAATTTAATCTTTCATTAAAATCCCTTTATGAATTTGTATATTTATTCCTGACAAGTTCAGATGTCTTCTTAGCTTCATCATTGCTTTGAAATATTTTCTGCTTTTCCTTCCCTGATTTTTATTATTCAGGTGAGGTCCTTCTAACAGGTAAGGTTCTTATTGTTGGGTTGAGGGGAGGGGAGCTAAGGGTAAGGAAGGCTGGCATAACCAGAGTCCTTACCTATGTTCATTTGAATCGTGGGACCTGCAACTGACCTCCCTTTTCTCTCTCTATCCATCACATCTAAGTTTAGAAAAGGGGTTCAGGTGGGCTTTCAGGATTGCCTTTCATATTTGAGGTTTCATAAAAAGCCTGCCATCCAGTTTCTCAATTCTAGATAGGTGAAGCTTTTTGACGAAGAAATGAAGGGGTCTTCGAAGTAAAATTGTGAAAGGTGATTCTTTTTGTGCTACAAAGGTCACTAGGCATTCAGCTATGACACCTTAGGTCTAGAGGCCTAAGGAGACCAGGAATGTGGGAAACGAAGCATGGGGTCTGCTAAGGCTTGAACGCAGTGGTTCTTCATCTTCCTTTACAGATCTGATACAAGCTAATGAACTATCCCCTCCAATGCATTTAAAGATAAAAACTGGGTTACAAATTCAGGTGAGTCACTGTTGAAGCCCAACCCTGAAGCCCTAGCCAGCTCTGCTCTAAACGATGAGAATACTTAAAACGTTCAAGCCACAA